GAAAAAAGGGCCTAGAGTACAAAAAAGCGCCCATGCGTACACTCATGTTGCCTTTTGCCATTCAGATTTTACAGCAGAAACTTCATCTGCAAGTGTATAGACCTGGTTCTTCCCCTTGTAGTGGAAGCAGAGAGCTTTTCCTTTTGTTGGTACATAGGGTACTAGTGGTGAATATGATTTAGTCCTTCTGAAGTCACCTGGCGGTGAATTGACACTGTGTTTCAACAGCAGAAGGAAAGGAGATGGAGAGGAGAGGATGTTTTTCAGTACCTTTTGATATGCTTTGTTTGTCTTCAGGTAGATTTCTTTGCTAATGTTAAATGTGTTTTGAATGTTGAACTTAAATCTGTCACAGGAATTATGCCTCCAAAACCACTGATGAGAAGAGACCAGATAGAGGGATCAGCAACTAGTTCAGATTCATTTGAACATATAGCTCGCTCAGCAAGAGAGCACACCGTTCCTTTGTCAGAGCCCCGCATGATGTGGGGGTCAGACCCATACCCCCATGCAGAACCTCAGCAATCTAGCTCTCCTCCCAAAGTTTTAGAAGAGCCTGACGATTTGAGGTAAGCCTGAGTTATGTACTCCTGCATGTTACTTCTCCAACCCATACATGTTTACACACTTGGCTGTGTAATTTAGGTTACCAAACACAGTTTAAACTGACTGAGTTATAGCTGTTCTTGGCCCAAAACTTTAAAGGAGTTGTGACTGGAGATGGCAGTGTTCTTGGCGTTGTTGTATAAAACAAAAGATGTGCCTGCTCTGTAGTAGGGTGTAGAAAGACAATTTACCCCATGATATTTTTAATTTTCAGTTTTGTAGAACAATGCTACAGTGTTATCCTGTTCTCCATTTGCTCTCCATCCTCCCCATAACAGAGAACTTCTGTCTGATAACTGAAACTGTGTATTTCAAAAATGATGTGTTAAATACAAGTGAAATAGAGCAAGACAGTCACTTGTGACCTTTGCTGCATGATGAACAGTCAGGAAGGCTTCCTCTACATCTTTAAAGTACCCTGAAATTTATTTTTTTTTCCTGTACTGCTGTCTGAGTAATACCTGTGATACCTGCTAACTTTGGGGCTCCATTTAAAATTGCATGTATGGACATTAACACTAAGGGACTCCTATAACTAACTGTGCATTTGGCACTAAACTCTTAATCAGTATAGAATAAAATTGACCTCTACAACTGGCAGCCACTGTAAAAATTAATACGTTATTTTCTAGAACTGACATGAATCCTTCTTTGAAACAGAAGATTTATTTTAGTAGTAGATATGAGTAAAATTTTTCCCTTCACCCTAATGTTCTTAATTGCTTGCTGCTTAGGTCTGAGGCACACTTGGAGCAGGAGCGAGTTGCTGTCCCTGCCACTGCATATCCTGTAGAACACAACCAGTTGGACTCTCATCCAAAGACAGACTTTTTCAGAGAATCAGGAGAGATAGAGGTACAAAAGTTCCCAAGCAGGCCTTTGGAAGATGTACAACCTCTCCAGACTGACACACCTAACACTGCGGTTAATTTTGAAGGAGTGAAGGAGAAAGTTACGCATAGCTCTCCAGAAGAATTTGTGCCTGTAGGGGAAAGTCACTCTTCACTGAAGAGAAGCATTTCCCATGGTTCAAGTCACTCTCTAAAATCGGAGGACCAGAGGAATGAGACAGCAACAAATATCCCTAAATTAAATAACAGGCCTCTTGAGACAAAGGAGACAATTGAGAGACTTGAGATTAAGCCAAAAAAAGAAATTCTGATCAATAGTAGAACACTAGAAGGACCAAAACCAGAAAAATCTTTCAAACCTAAGTCTGAAACAAGATGGGGTCCTAGGCCAGGTTATGGTAGGAGAGATGAAGGTGGTGATAGACCAGTAAGAAGATCAGGTCCTATTAAAAAACCTGTCCTTAGAGATATGAAGGAAGAGCGGAAGAGCGTGAACAAAGAGAAGAACGTGAGCAGAGGAAGGAGAAAGAAGGAGAAAAAACAGCTAGTGAGAAATCTAGCAAGTCTGAGAAAACTGACAAAAAGGAAGCACCTCAAGTGCCACTGCCTCAGACTGAGCCAGAGACGTCTGCCTCCAGCGGCACTCCTAAAAAGACAACCCAGGATGCTGCTCTGAGCCTGGCAAGCCAGGAGAGTGGTCAAACTGAGACTGCAGCTAAAGCACTGGTTCAGACACCCACACCTCCAGCCCCACAGCAGCTACCAGCTGCCCAGCCTGCTGCTCCACAGCTTCCCCCTGCAGTACAGCAGCAGCCACCAGCTCAGCCAGCAGCACAGCAGCAGCCACATGTTCAGCAGCCAGCTAGTGCAGTGAAGGAAGAAAAGCAGACTGAGAAGGTGGTTAGCAAGGAGGTTGTAGAGAAACCACGCTTAGAAACCAGACCAGTAAAAAGAGAGCCTGGCTTACCACCTAGGACATACTGGAAAGAAGCTAGGGATAGAGACTGGTTCCCAGATCAGGGATACAGAGGCAGAGGTCGTGGGGAGTATTATTCTAGAGGTCGTAGCTACAGGGGTTCTTATGGAGGACGTGGTCGGGGCAGTAGAGGCCATAATAGAGAATACCCACACTACAGAGATCCTAAGCCTAGGTCAGACCATGTGCCTTCAGGGCCTGTTAGGCAAAGAGAAGAGAGTGAAACTCGCAGTGAGAGTTCTGACTTTGAAGTAATCCCAAAACGGCGGCGACAGCATGGTTCAGAGACAGATTCCGACAGCGAAGTTCATGAAAGCGCAAGTGACACGCTACTTTCAGACAAAGACAGTCTAATCAAAGGCAAGCACCCAAAAAGAGAAGACAGAGCTGATGGCAAGAAGCCTTCAAAGCCTCTGTCGTTCAAACCTGAAAACAGTATCAGAGTAGACAACAGATCCCTAGAAAAAACGTACATGAGAGATGATGAGAACAAACCCAAACCAGGATTTCTTCCTAAAGGAGAGCCTTCTAGACGAGGCAGAGGGGGAATGTATAGACGTGGCGGTAGGGATCCTGGTGGGCGTCCTCCACGTCCATCCACTATAAGGAGACCAGCCTACAGAGACAATCAGTGGAATCCTAGGCAAACAGAGATTATTAAACCGGAAGAAGGGGAACCTCCAAGAAGAAATGAACATTATGGTCCTATACCAGTTGATAAAAGACCTCCAAAATTTGAGAGAAAGTTTGATCCAAATAGAGAGAGACCACGAAGACAAAGGCCCGCTCGGCCACCAAGGCAAGATAAGCCACCACGCTTTAGGCGCCTGAAAGAAAGAGAGGCCGCATCAAAGATAAACGAGGCAGTAACCAGCTCATCAACAAGTGCCACAGTTAGTAATGCAGTTAATGAGCCTGCCACCACTGCTCTGGATGTATCAGAAAGTAAGACACCAGATTTGTCCAACCAGAATTCTTCAGACCAGGCAAATGAAGAATGGGAAACTGCCTCAGAAAGCAGCGACTTCAATGAGAGGCGGGAGAGGGATGAGAAGAAAACAGCAGATGCAGCAGCACAGGTGGCTGCAAAGGCAGGAGAAAATGCTGGAGCTCCAAAAAGGGAAATAGCCAAGAGAAGTTTCTCTAGTCAGCGGCCTGGAATAGACCGTCAAAACCGACGTGGCAACAATGGGCCAGCTAAACCAGGGAGGAACTTCTCGGGTCCTAGGAGTGAAAGGCGGAGTGGTCCTCCACCCAGAAGTGGAAAAAGAGGGTGAGTACAAACTTCTATTAGGAAGCACACATGGTCATGGTCTTCTGTTGTCCTCTTGTGGTCCAAACTCGTAAGTAGTTATTTTAGATTAGTAGAATGATAGAAAAGAGAGTAAGACAAACACATGCATCTGTGTCTGTGTACTTCAATTTTGTTTTTTCTCTTATTTGTATACAGACACTTGGAACATGGAGCTAAGAGCAGAGTATTCTCGTATGCACAGTGTTAAAAATGCCTAATTAAAAATCACCATTGTAGTGCCGTTTGAGTCAAGCTATGTTTTTCAAGATTTGGATGCAAGCTAGAATGTTAATGTGAGTGGTTTTGCAGTTGATACATAAACTGCTGCATTGTGTTTAAGATCACCCACTAAACATAGACAAGCATGTTGAGAAATGCTTGCCGTTGAGACTAAACTTTGTTTTCCTATGTGCTGAATTTGATTGACACTTGGTAATTACCTAATGTTACTACTTCCCACTGTTTTTGTGCCACACTGCACAGTAGCCTGGTAAGTGGGAGGCAGGACAAGAACGTTTTCCATTAAATGTCTGTGCTGTGCTCTAGGACTCCTGTGGTTGTAGGTTGCTGCAGTCTTAAATTCAGTTTTTGCCTGGGCTTAAAAACTTCTGATCAGTGCTTTAACCTCCAAATTAAATCTATTAAGAATTCCTTTGGCTAGTCACTTAATGGTGAAGTTTACACAAAAAGTGGGTATTCCAGGTTCCACAGGAAAAACAGAATGATGCAAATCTGATTTATGGATTCAGATAGCTGTTCGGAAGTAAGCTTTCTGGATTAAGTATATTGTACCTTGTTTATATTTGCTCACATTGCATACTGTATGCTTCTGGTTTGTTTGTGTTTTGATTTTATTTTGTTGGGTTTTGGTTTAGTTTGGGTGGGGTTTTGGGTTAGTTTTTTGGTTTGGTTTGGTTTTTTCCAAGGAAGGATTTACTGCAGTTGAAGTATACTGAACTGCATCCTTGTTGAGCTTTGGTACCTCTACTTACGTAGACCAAGCCAGGGGTGACATTAAAATTATGTTTTGGGTTTTTTTCTGTGATTCCTCTTGGCAGCAGGGCATTTGATATGTCCCCACAACAGCTTTTACTGTTAAGCTGCTTCCCATTGAGGAGCTGAAAGTAAAAAGATTGGAGCCTACTAAGAAATTGCACAGTAGACACAGCCCTGCACTAGGATCTGCATTAGATGGTTAGATCCTTCCTGAGTGTTCTCTGTGGCTGGTCATTAATTTTCTCATATTTTTTCTAATACCAGGCCATTTGAAGAGCAGACAGCAACTGTGCCTAGTGTTGATCCCACCAACAGCAACTCTTTACATCAGGAGGATGGAGGTGTTACTGCTGCAGGCCAAAAGAGCACCAAGGATGCAACTAGCAAAAAGAGAGAAGAACCTAAGGCTGGTCCAAAGAAGCCTAAGGAAAAAGTGGATGCCTTGTCTCAATTTGATCTTAATAATTACGCAAGTATGTATTGATAATATCCTAACAAGAATTTGTAAGATTTGCTGCATATAGAGCTAGATGTTTTTGAAAACTTACAGAAAAGTGATTTTAAATACCAGAATAATTATGTACTTGAGTACTGGTACCTTTGTCATATCTAATTAATGCGCGTGCCTCTGAAGTGGCAAATCTCATTGTGTATTTTTATGAACAATAAAGATAAGAACAGTTTTGTTCTATCACCTAATCTTAACTCTGTCATTCATACTATTTTCCACCACATTCTTTATTTGCTTAACCTTCATAAACAAAGGCAGTGGATATCACTTATAGCTAATATGCAAGGAAGGCTGTTCATTATTATGTTTTAGTTCTTACTTCCTGGAGAGTGGTACAGGAATCTCCAGTTTTTCGATTCTTAAAGATTAACTCCCCGTCTTCAAGTTCAGCATCAAAGGATTCTGGCAAGCAGAAGCTTACCTCTAATCAGGACCAGTATCTGTGTCTGTGGGGAAATAGCTTCCACTCTAAAGCAGATTTTGGCTTGGTGCACTGCATCTGAAGCCATTAAAACAGCAGCATCTATACCTTTACTTATATTTCTGTAGGTGTTGTGATCATTGATGATCACCCTGAAGTGACAGTAGTTGAAGACTCCCAATCTAACTTGAATGATGATGGTTTCACAGAAGTGGTGTCTAAGAAGCAGCAAAAACGCCTGCAAGATGAAGAGCGTAGAAAGAAGGAAGAACAAACAGTGCAGGTACAAGACCAGCATGTATAGTGGGGAAGAGCTCCTTGCAGTACTGGGCATGTTGTGAAGTGTGCAGAATCGTCCTTCCAAAGAAACTGTATTTTCAACTTATAATTAGATACTTGTATTAATATGAAGTTGTTCAGAATTAGTAAATAACATTAAGTTTTACTTAGTCATCTTCGTGTTCTGTGCTTCCTGATTGGGCACTGCCAGGCAGGTGGAACTGGCAAACTGAAAACACAATTTTTCATACTGTGATAAAGATACATACTATTGCTTGTGTATGGGTTGGTTCGAAGAGGAAAATGGATGAGAAATCATTGCTTCCGTGGTTAAATACCCTTAAAAAAATAAACTTCTTTAAGACAAGGTTAATCAGTTTGCTTTTTGCTACAACACAATGTACAGTTGGTGTCTATACAGACTTACCAGCTGGAAGAATAAAATTAGCTTCTGCTTACAGGTGTGGACCAAGAAAGGATCAAGTGAAAAAGGCCGAGGTCAGAATTCCAAGCTTCCACCCAGATTTGCCAAAAAGCAGCAACAGGCAGCAGCTGCAGCTGCACAGCAGGCACAAGCTCAGGCACAGCCTCCATGTACAACACAGACTCCGGGTCAGCCATCAGCTTCTGTTCAGCCACCAAACCAGGCTGCAGGAGGGACAGCCAGCACAGAGTACACAGTGTCAGGCAAAGTTCTACAAAACACTCAGGCTCACAATGGTCTGGGAGCTGAATTGTGGGAAAACAAGGTGCCTCCTTCAGCAGTTCTAAATGACCTCTCCAAAAAATGTAAGTGGTGTCTTTCAGATTTGGGGTAGGGAGCAAGCACTGTAGTTAGAGAGTGCTGATTGCCAGCTCTCTCTGTTAATGTCTCATTTCTACCTGTATTTTGCTCAGGGAATAGAGGGCAGCATTCCCCAGTGCAGCGTCATAACCTATGAATACCTCTGAAAAGAGATTTTTGCAGTACGGTATTACTCAGTGGTTTGCATTATGTTCTTCGTCACTGTGAATGAACAGCTGTCACTCCTTTCAGGAATCTGTGTTTTGTTGGGCTTGGTCATATTTCCAAACACAATGATTGCCCCACTTGAAAGCAGCTAAATAGGTAGCATATTCTTAACTGCTGAATATGTTAATGGTTTCTTCACCAAAGCTTATTTAATAAAGACATCTGTAATTTAATTCTCAGTCAATTGAAAACTTTAGTCAAAGGCATTTAGCAACATTGAGGGCAGGGTTAATCCTCTTTTTTCTTAATTGTCAGTGGGACCCATTAGCCCACCTCAGCCACCTTCGGTCAGTGCTTGGAACAAGCCTTTGACATCTTTTGGTTCAACTACATCTCCGGAGGTAAGAATGAAGGGAAGAGTAGCTGTATATAAAGCTTACCCAAGTTATATCTCATTAGGATTGGGTACAGATTATCCATTTATTCAGACATGCACTTACTTAAACTAGTATATGTAGAATTCCATGAAGTTGGGGGATAGTACAGAAACACAGGATACAAGCAAGTGCTTTTATGGATGCAGTATGGAAAAACAGTTCGCTGTAATGAAAACTTAGCTGTTCACACATTCTGTTGAAGCTGTTACTCAGTGCATTTTTTAAGTAAAAATATTGCTTAGTTTGCATGTGAGCACTTGTGTACAGTTCAGTAATGTAGACAGAAACAGGATGTCTCCAAGGAACTAAATGCTTTTATGTCCCTTCTTAAATCAGTGGTATAAGAAGCAGTAGATGCTTTCTTTCTGTACTAGCCCTACTTATTCCATGGAATTTACATAGCCCTAAATTTTACATTTGAAGGCCTGTGGTTTTGTTGGGCATTTTTGGTCATTACTTTATTGTTTTATACTGTAAGAATGTGACTTAACTCTTAAGGGAGACCATTTTAACTGTATAAAGAGTTCTGGAAACCTTTAATTTCTTATTGTTCCTCTTGAACATCAATTCTTGAATTTTCAGGAGAATGTTGTGAATCTGAATATGGACATTTTAAAATTGCATTTGTCCCTCTCCCCTTTCTCTATTGGTTCATTATCTTGATCTTGTTTACATATTTCTTCACTGCTTTTTTTTCTTTCTTTTGAGCTTGTACAAAGAATAGGAACTTGAGGAGGAGGAATTGTACTTTCATAGATTGTTTACTCTTACAAATGTGTTGTAATTACAAATAATACTTTTGCTGGCAGGAGATAAAAGTGGGTTTTGTCTGGACATATTTTGTGCTCTTTTCTGAACCACTGACTTTGTACTAATCTAGAAAACTTTTGAAATGTGTTTAATGTTTACTTTTTAACTAGGGAGCAAAGCCTGGGCAAGAAGGTGGAGTTGATCTTGGTATAGAAACTATTCAATTTGGAGCCCCAGCTTCCAGTGGCAGCGACAACGAAGTTGGCCCTGTGCTTTCTGAGAAGTCCACTGATAAGCTGCCAGAGCCAAAAGAGCAAAGACAGAAACAGCCTCGGGCTGGACCCATCAAAGCACAAAAGGTAAAAGGTTCTATCTTCGGTACAAACCTTTAAACTTCAAGAAGCTCAGCCAAAAGAGGTTACAAATAGTGAATAGAGTAGTCATTCAGTTAGGGCTAGACCGATAAAAATTGCATTCCCCTTTTATATTTCCTGAAACAATCAACAAGTTGGTTCTTGGAGGGAAGGTGGGGAATTCAGTTCAAGAAGCAAGTGTAAATAAACAGTATCCTAGCCCAGCAGAGTTTGTCCATTGATTCTGTGTTTGGAGCAAGGGAAGTGGCTAGAGCAGGGATGGGAGTATGGATGTGCAATAGCTTTGTTGGGAGACTATGGATGTGGTGAAGTTTTATGGCCTTGTTTGTAGTTTGGGGTTTTGGGTGTTCCCTTGAGTTTACTTCACTCAGGCTTTGAGAGCTGTTTTGAAGCAAGTATCCTGTTTCTGCCCTGGCTACATCTCCAGAGTTTTCTCTGTTTCTTCCTGCCACCATGCCTGCCTCACCCCCCTCTAAATGATGCATGGGGCCCTGCTTAGTTTTGTAGCCAGGTTACCAAGATGAGTAATACATCAAGTTACAAGAAAAGTAGTGTTTTGAGGAAAGGGAAGAATGTGGGGGCCACTAATTTGAAGTCTCAAATTCTAATGCAGATGTCTGGATAATTAATGGTTTTTTTTTTTTTGCAGCTAATCTAGGAAAACTAAATAGTTAATCAAATTTATCTCAACCTAAAAAAAATGTGTCACTTGCCCTTCAGAGATTTAGGTGCTCCATTCCATGATTGTCATTATCATCTTGTATTTCCGTTACACTCAAGGAGTAATACTTTCTCCTCCTGTCGTTTAGATTAGGGTGATCTTTCATGTTAATGAAATGTATTTTCCTGTTATTTCCACCTCTAGCACATATTTATCTGTGCATCGCTAGTACTCGGCACCGGCTTCTTACTCCCAGAAAGAAGTGGTTATAGCAGATGAACTTGACTGATGACTTAAAAAACTAGCTATTCCAATCCCTCTTGGTATCTGAGATTTGGCAACAGTCCTGATGTAATTAAAGCCCTTTCTTTAGTCTTTCTAGAAGACTGGGTGTTTCTTTGTGTTGGTTGTGTTTGGATTGGTTTGGGGTTTTTTTTCCCAAAAAAACCTACTGTAATCTGAAAGTGCAGTCACACATAGATCGAACTTAACTTCTATTGCATGAGGCACTCAGTGGGTGTATTGCAGTTCATGGGACTTATTGCAAAATATAAAACCAATACTGCAGAGGAATAGGCAGGAGTTAATGCTGCTGGTGAATTGTAGTAACCCATCACATTAAAACTCCCTACCTCACATACACTAGCAGCATGCCTTAAACTGCCCCCATGAAATCACTTAAAGATGCTGAGCTCCAAAGTTAAATAGAGTCTACTTTACACTAAGTTCCTCTTTTCTCCTTCATTATAGCTATCAAGACTCCTGTAGATTTTCTTGAAAGACAAATATGTGACTAAATGGTAAATTCATTGGAGATTAATATTTCTGTGCACTCTTCTGAATGAGAGGGCTGTAATCCCTGTCTTGCTGACAAAGAAAAAAAAAGCCCAACAAACAAACAGTTCCTACACACTCACCACCCACGTTGTGATATTGTTAACCATGAAGCCTAAATACAAATTCACGTTTGAGACTGGAGTATTGTTGAACTAATATAGGCAATGTAAGAGGACCATACTTGAAAAAAATGACCTTTAAGTGTCTGGAGGAATTTCTGCCTCTGTAAACTGTTAGAGTAAAAAATACTTGGGTTGAGATGGGTCTAATGTTCCTGATGGCTGCATTGCAGAGCTCAGGCATCTGCTTCTATTGTTGGTTTCTTCTTTCCCCCAGAAAGCTAGTCTCGGCTGACCTCCTGAGGGTACCAAATACCTCCAGGCAAACTCCACCCTCCCGAAAGCCCAAAGACGCTGTATTGTAGAAAGTCTTCATGTAACTCCTGAAACAGCTGGTTATATTTATAGAGCCAATACCAGCAGCTTCTGTCTTTCCACTATCAAAGGAGTAAGATTTTAAGGACTACCTTTAAGGAATTTTTTGGCTGCTCTGTAGCGAATAGGGCTGTCTAGTCTCAGCCAGAAAGGATGTGGCTATTTAAACAGCAGAGCTTTCAGGTTCCCCGAGGCCCTTCATTCTTCTTTAATTCAGCTGCACAAAAAGGAACTACTGAATTGCAGCAATTATTCCAGCCATAGTGACTACAATATCAGGCAACACTTGCATGTAGGTGTTTTATTTTTCTGGCTATCCCCTTAGAGCCCAGTTCCTAGGGAGAAATGCTGCTAACATCCATACATCAAGATATCTTCAAATGAAGGTAGAGTCTTCTGTTCTAGTTTCCTGGGGCCCTGTAAAATCCTGATTCTTTGAAAATGTAAATAACCTGTATGTATATGAAGTCTTGTGGCTTCTGTACTTCATTGTGCTTTTCTTTTAAGGAGAGTCAAGCTGGCTTTCATCTATAGGTTTTAACTAGATCTTTAGTCAAAGTCTGCCACTTCTCACATGAAACTTGTGTTGTTTGAAAACAATGGTTTAGATTCCTAATGTTCAAAATGAACGCATTTCGTGTACATATTGCTAACTTAGTCTCAAATGATTTATCTGTTAGAAAATGCTTACTCTTCAGGAAAGTTTTGTTAGATTTAAACAAAATTATTTTAAGCATGTTATAATATTCTTGCGGAATAGGACACAGAGGGGAAGAAATAACTGACAAGTTAACACTAACTTAGCTTCCAGACTTGAGTCCAGTAGAAAACAAAGAATATAAACCTGGTCCTATTGGGAAAGAGCGTTCTTTAAAGAACAGGAAGGTGAAGGATGCCCAACAGGGAGAGCCTGAGGGACAGGAGAAGCCATCTCCCACCTCTGTCAGAAGTCCAGAACCTGTCACTACAAAGGAAACCAAAGCAGCAAGTGAACTAAGCACGGAAATAGGAACGATGATATCTGTGTCTGCTCCAGAGTTTGGAACAAACACAAAGGTAAGAAACATATGGACAAATTACTGAGTCCTATATGTAAAGTGTTAATACAGTGGTGTAATTCACATTTGGTTGCCTGCTGGTGGTAGTTAACTGGACAGCAGAGCCCACTGAATAGGAGGTGTGAAACACAGTGGTACTGCTTGAATTAAACAGTTTGCCAGAAGTGGTACAGAGACATGCTGTTTGTCATGTCCCTGTACAAAGATCAACTTGGAAGGTTTTAAGACTTTTTTTTTTGCTGCCTTATGAATGTGGAAACTCTGTCTTGAGCCTTGCTGCAGAGAGTAGTGCTGGAGCCTGGTATAGGCAGATTCTGTAAATTCAGGATGTATGTGATATATGCAAGACGAGTGCTTGATTTTCAGCACAGAACTGAAGTAGTGTGTGCAATCATTGGTTGAGTGCATGGGTGAATTGAAGCTGTGAATTAACTGCTGTTCTGTGGAGAAAAGAAATCTCTAAAGCTAAAGTGTTGGATAAGGCTTGCTTGGTTACCTAAAGGGTCTGTATGTCAGCTCCTGTTGGCTTGGACATTAAGGTACCACTTGCAGAACTCTTTCAGGATTTGAGGACTTATCATAGTTGCCTGCATGGAACTACCCTGCCTTCTGTAACTGCTCAACAATGAGATGGTGACTTGCTGTCAGGATTCATTGTTCTACAGCTCAATTCTTAGCTGTGATGCATCGATAGCACTGGCTGAAAAACATCCAGAGAGGTGTTTTTGCTTAAGGACCTGTGCAGGCACTCACTGCCTTCACTTCAGCAGCATTGTCTTGAGCAAGAACTATGGCTGTCATCTCTCGAATGTAACTGTGCAGTTTGAGTAGCTACTAGGTTAGTAGTTACACCTGCTTTGATAAAGGAAAAATGCTTCTTGTATGCTTTTAAAAGAGTTTTGTGAGGTTTGGCTGGAGTTTGCTACATGCCATCTCAACCTGCCTTTTCCTAGTCTTAAGCAGAAATTTTCTGATGCCATTTAGGAAAATGATCCTCTGCAGAAGCTGCATTTATTGTTAAAAGAATCTGAAATACAGATGACTTGCAATTTATCTTTGCCATTGGGGGGAGGGAAAACAGTCCTGGCTTTTTGTTTGCCAAGGTGTCATGCAAGCAGAAGGTCCTATCTCAACAAAGTATTACAGAGCAAGTGTTAAGGCAGGTATTTGTGTCGAACATGGTAGTTGCAAACTTGATTTTTGAGTTGAATGGCAAATACATAATAAAATTCAGTGCTGGGATTTCCCATCCTTCCTGGCAGTTTCCATCTTGTAAGTGGATGTGAAGGGTTTATACTGGTACCAGAAACAGATAAAGTGCCCCTCTTATATGCAGAATCAGAAATGTAGAGCTGTCAACACCAGTTTGCTCAAGTATTTGGTAACAAGGCTCTTTGTAGGTGTCATGTGCTTTCTCACTGTCTTTCAAGCTCCTGTTACCAGAGCTCAAGATCAGAGGAGATGCTTCTTCTAAGCCATGTACAGGATAGAAAACATATCTTTGTTGATTACTCCAGGCTAACTTGATATACAGTAGCTCTACTAAAATCAGCGAAATTTCCGCTCTGCATTTACACTTCTGAAGTACGTGATCTTCAAACGGGAAGTCTGGATTTTGTGCCTTTCTGGCCTTAGAACTACCACAGTATCAAAGTGCCAAGCTTCCGACTTCTGGAGGGAAGACCAGAGTGAAAAGGAACCTTCCAGTTTGTGCTGGGTATGAAAATTCCCAATAATTTCTTCATTAAGTGGTTCCTAATAGAATCACTTAATAACAGGCCTAAATATTCCTATCTCAACAGTTTCAGATTTGCTTTTGAATTCCTTTGTCATGAGTAATTCCTGGGGCATCAGCAAGATATTTTTCTAGGAAAGAGGTGATCAGTCATATTTTGTGTTCTATGGAAGTTGAACAACCTGCAGATTTATTGGATAAGATAAGCTGCATCTAGATATTGCAGGAATAAACCAGTCTTGCTACTTCTTAAAGTGGCTTTTAAAATGGGTTCAAATACTGTTCTGGCCTTGGAGTTCCTGTAATTATTTGTATTACAGCTGCTTTCTCTTGTCTTTTGTACTTTGTCCATTGCATTCATTAATGAGGGAAGAAGCGATGACATCTTTAACCTATTGTTCCAGTGTCAAGTGTTGAAGTTTTAGCAAACCTAAATGATTTCTCTTTTGACACTCTTCAATACTCTTTTCGGAGACTGCTGCTCAGCTTTCAGGAAGGCATACTTTCTTTAGTCTATTAGGTGATTTAAATGTCTGTAGAAGTCAAGCCAGCTGTCCTCATTGAGAAGCAGAAGTTTTGTAAGAACTGTATCTGTCCCAGGACAAACATCTTAAAATCATGTGCATTTAATCATACAAAACTGCTTTCCCATAGAAACTGTATAAATCAGCCCATACTCGGGAGATGTTTAAGTTTAGAACGTAAACATGACGCTCCAAAGCAATTGCAGCTGTCTCTTGGGTTTTGCAGAATGTTACGGAGTAAAGGCAACGTGATGTGTAAGTCTTTGAATTGGGTAAAACACTTTACCCCTTTCCTTTTCTCACCCTACCATGCTGAAGGTTCGGAATCTTTCAAATCACAGGAACAGTCAATACGTGGTTACGGACATGGCAATGAAATGTTTCATAGGTAGTTCATAACAGTCAGAGAGATGATGTCTAAAAGCACGCAGGCTGTACTTGAGAATAAACTTTGAGTATCTTGGATGATTTATCTCAATCAGGAACAAATCAAATAGCTAATTAATCCCATATAGAACCCTGATCCTTTATAGCAAGGTCAGCTCTGAGGTCTGCCTTGTCCTTTTGTTCATAAAGTTAGTTCAGGTTTTGTGATCTTTTTCTAGGCCAAAGTAGGTAGTTACTAAAAGCTTGCCTGTTCTTTTTCTTCAGGTATAACTAACTTGCAGAGAACTCAGAAAAAGCATGTACAGCTTTTTTGCTCTAGCTATTATTACTGTTACTAATTTATAATAATCAGTTGGTTTCTTCAGTAAAACAGTTGTAGAGGAGAATCGCTTTACTTGAATTACAGAAGCTTATGGTGATAAGCCATATCTAACAGAGATTCCTAGACATAATGTACTAGTAAATGAAGGATTGTGGTTAAACTACAGTTCTGGTGGCTAAACCATTGTCTTACCTGCATATTCAGCATGTGAGTAATCCTTGTAGGATGGTTCAGCATTGTACATATACTTCTAAAGGTGTCAGAGGTGATATGGTGGTTCGGTTTTAATTCTACTGAAAAAGAATTTTGTGCTGTATGTTTCCAAAGTGAGAAAGTTAGCAATAGTTTGATCTGATTTCTTTTGTAAGAAATACTGGTGCTGAGACCCTGTAAAAATTGCATCCAAACCTTGAAGAAATTTTAATAATGTTATGTTAAAAAGTTCCTCTTTCTTATGCAGTAAAGCATCTTAAACCAAAACAAAACAAAACCCCCAGTTCATTACTTTATTAGAAGGACCATGTGCTTGCCTTGTTCTGCCTAAATTAAGGTTGCTTGTTGGAACCAAATACAATTTGCAACTTGTAATTTGATTGTTTAGATTATGGGAAACATTGCAGATAGGGCATTTCAACAGTTTAACAAGTAAAGGAAATAACTAAATGGAGAAAATACTTGTCTCTGTTTCCTTTGGAAATGCAAAAATAAGCCAGTGTGCACATTGTGTTCTCTCACCCCATTATGGTTGAGCTCATCCTTTTAAGGAAGATTCTTTGTTAGTATCTTAGTGCTTTAATTGCTCTTTTAGGAGACATTGGCATAGTCTTGAGGAGTAAATTGAGTGTGCTCTTTTTAATGGTTTTACCATTATACTGCTTGGATGCAATTAAACAAGCATTTTGTGGTTTGTGCCTTCAAAATCATGTGTTGGAAAGTCCAGGCACTCATCAGTTCTGCTGCTGATTTGTTCTTCAGTTACTTGGTGCTTGATTCTGTAAAAATGATGGAGCCTTTTCTGGACTTCAGACATAGAAAACTTTGGAGTTTGCAGTGCTTTTAGAGAGTGGCTCTTGGCTAGTTCAGGGTCACACTGTTTGTCTAACAAAGTCTCTGGATCAGGTTCTGGTAACACCTGTTTGCCTGTCCAGAATACGCTCAGTAGATATCCAGTGTTAAGAAGTAAAACGCAATGGTTGAGATGACTTTGCGGCAGTACCAGTGCCTTTTTGTTTGTTGTAGGTCATTCTGTAGATAGATGGCCGTGTTATCAATGAGACACTTTGATCAGGCAGTTTATACTTGCAACTGAAATAGCCACTGGCTACAGCTAGGTCCATGAAACTGGACCTTGTTCATTGAGCACATTAAGGTCCACTTAAACTGTGACAAATAAAGTTCAAAGAAAGCCTCTGGGTAGATGGGAAACTTCAGTCCTTTTCTTCCTTAAAATTGTTGCCAAGTGCAGAAATCAGAAGATAGACTCACCATCCAGAGAAGCTGTGTCTTGCAACTTTCAGAGACAAGACTTAAAGGAAGAAAAATTGTTTTGCAAATTGCAACCATTCGTGTGTGTTCTTTTTAATCTGGAGGGCCTTACTTGTCATAGGTTTACCCAAGAAATTTCTCTATTTAAAGCTACAGAAAGCTTTCAGCTAATACATTTTGCTTTTTGAATAGGCTAGAAATAGCTACAGATGGCTAATTGGTTACACTACCACAGTTCGGTGTCTAGTGCCCAGGCAGTACTTCACTCTATATATTCTTGCTTTACAGACTGTATTTTGGCTTGTCTCCAGATGTACGTTATGAGGTCATGTTGTGGTTCAAGCCCAGCAATGCAGAACCACACAGCCGCTCACTTACTCCCCCCCGCTCCTTCCTCCCCCCGCTCCTGGAGGGATGGGGAGGAGAACTGGAGGAATGTAACTCCCACGGGTTGAGATAAGAGCAGTTCAGTAACTAAGGTATAAAACAAACCATTACTGCTACCAATAATAATGATAAGAGGAATAACAAGGGGAGAGGACACAACCGCTCACCACCCACCGACTGATACCCAGCCCGACCTGAGCAGCGATCTGGGCCTTCCGGGTAACTCTTCCCAGTTTATGTACTGGGCATGACGTGCTCTGGTATGGAATACCCCTTTGGCCAGTTTAGGTCAGGTGTCCTGTCTCTGCTTCCTCCCTGGCAGAGCATGAGACTGAGAAAGTCCCTGGTCAGAGTAAACATTACTTGGCAACAACTGAAAACATAGGTGTTAAATCGGCGTTGTTCCCAGACTGAAAGTCGAAACCACAGCACTGCACCAGCTACTAAGAAGGAGAAAAAATGACTGCTGTAGCTGAACCCAGGACAGGTCATGAGGCAAACTGTAGTCTACCAAGAATTCTTCAGACCTCAGTAGCAATTCAGCAATAAAAATTGCTGGATATGCTTTCTAAGAAAAAAAAATTGGTGTAAAATTCTAATCTTCTGTTGCCTGGTGAACTCCTCCTGTAGAAAGGCTGACATCTGTCCAAGAAATATAACTCTAATTTAGGTAAGGGAGATATTTTAATGGAATTATTTTTCTTCACAGGAGTCTGTAACAGACTACACTACACCTTCTTCTCATCCTAACACAGTGGCTACTAGCAGTACAAAAATGGAGGAGACTTTGGTGACGAACGTAAGTCTATTGCAGTGATCATCTTGACTTTGAAGACAAGAAAATATTTTCACACTTTAAAGCACAAAATAGTGCCTTCAGTAAACAAGTCACTAGGATTTCTTTCATGTTAACTAGATTTGCATTGCTCAGTAATCTTACTCGGAGGCGGATTTGGTTTGATTAGTATCTGTTCTGGATTTCTTCAGGTATTTTCTTGTCTTTTGATCAGCCAGAATGAGCTAAAGAGCACAGAAAATAGAGATGTTTCTAGGGACAGTTCTGAGGGAAAAAAAAAACAACAGAAAAAGAAAGTTAAAAAAAAAAAAAAGCCCAAAGGTAGGCTTAATGAGGAAGTGTGCTCTCAGCAGCACTTGGGACTTGAACCTGGTACCAGTAGCAAAGCCCTGTAGGTGAGTTTGAAGAAAGTCTTTTACAGACGGGGCAGTTCTGAACTGTAGCCTGAAATCACAACAGCTGCATGTAAAGGAAGCAGCTTCATGGTTTCTGAAAGCAGACAGCAGGCTTTCAGTTGTGCAGCTGTTATGGAGATAAGATGTTCACAGTCGTCATAACACCAATGATCCTGACCGTGAGCGTGGTGTAGCGATTGAGAGGACCTTCTGGGTTGTGACTTGCAGTGAAATCAAGTTTGTCTGGAGTGTGCTGGGATGTCATGGAGCTTGGATCTTGTGATTTTTGTTGTTTTGAGTAGCAGAAATAGAATTACATCTCAGAGTTGAATCAGTTGTTGATTGGGGAAAGAAAGAATCATACAGTAGGATCTCAGGTTTTTATGAAGATGCTTTTCAGCTTACTGCAGCAGCCTTTAAAGCCATTTGGAAGCAATACTGGTTGAACTTCTCTGCTGGGTTTTCTGGTGATGGTGTGGTTTGTGCCTTCGGTGGTTAGCGTGGAAGACTGACTTCTTTTGTGTTAATGATGTTAGTGTATGCTCCCCTGTGGGGTGCTGGATTTCCAACACAGAATATAGGGGCTTCTGGCCACAAAGGATCTGTGCTATCATCTGCTTTAAAGCTTCAGTTTCTATGTCTTTTGGATTAGCCTTATCTCATCCAGTGGAAGTCCATTAGGTGTGCTCTGAATGGAGAAAAATGGTTAGAAGTAACAGACTGGCCACTGGAGTATTTTTTAACCACTTTATTTAAAACTTCCAGGAAATCAGTCAGTGTTTTCTTAGGCAAAGAGAGCAATAGCATTATGTCAAGTTTATTTCTTTAAGTTTCACATCTTTCATCTTTTGAAAGAGAAGATAACTGAATTCAGTTACTGGATGGCAAATCCATTTTGGTTTGTTTCATGGTCCTGTGACTTTGGAGGTTTATAGCTTCCTCTTTTCAGTAACTGCATCTTGGATCTCAAGGTCATGAAGCCCCATGTACTGTATTTGTACAAAAGGGGACAAACCTGGCTTGAAGAATTTTTCGTATCAGTAAACTGAAATTGTACTTTAAACCCAAAGCACAAAATTGATATTTGTGTATGCAGAAGACATGAACATTTTAGAACCTTAGTCTTCATTCAGCCTGTTAAAGAGAGATGAGAAGCATCTCGGCACCTGCTGAATGGCCTTTCCCCACCTACCAAATTTTTGCCTTATTTTATCAACGTCTCCCTGCAAAATGCTCAAGCCTTGAAGAAATTGTAGCTCACTTAATAAAGCTTGAGCTTTGCTTTTCTGGGGCTTTTGTAGTAGACGTAGTTAGAATGTGATGTGTGTTGCCTGCCTTTCAGGTGCCCCTGCCCCACACCCTTCCCCTCCCTAGGAGGGAGACTCTACAACAGAGCTCCAGCCTAACTCCAGTTTCTCCCGCTACCGTCGACCTCACCCTCAAGGTATGTACCACATCCCTCTAAGGGTCGTTTTCTTGCATGCAGGGGAAAAGTTAATGGAGAACTTGCTGGTGACTTTTTTTTTTTTTTTTTTTTTTTTTTAAGAGCCTTCCTTTTGTTTCCTCTGCTGAACTGCTTTTGCATATAAATGGATGGCTGGAACACAAGACTATCAAAGGATGCATTTAAATTATAAATCTCTAACCCCATTTTGCATTAACACTTGGCATCTCAACCAATCTTGGCTCCAAATGCCCTGAAAAAAAAATCTTACTATGTTAGCATTATACCATAGTATTCATGACAAACCATCAGAATCTGACTGAGGTTTCTTTAGAGTTTAGCTGAAAGTAAGTTGCCTGGTTTAGTATTGAAGGCTGTAAGGAGTTGCTTGGTAAGCCGAACTTGTTTTCTTTTAGGTGTAAGATAGTGATGCAGGGTTAATGTGGCATTGAGTTGAATGGCTAAAGTTCTGAAGAATGAGATGTAGGTGGTGTGCTGGTGTCTATGAAGAGCAGTTTGATCAGCTAGTCAGAACGTGTTTTGTTGTGCTATGTTACATTGTTTTCTGCTCTCCAGCACAGAGCAAGTGTGTAGAATATTTTGAATGGTTTTCCTATTTTGTTGGACTGTGTGCATTGTATAACTCACTAACATAGAGTTGGGCTCTAGCTTTGCTACTGTATCTCTAGAAGGTTTTGGTCCCTTTTTTTTTTTTTTTTTGTTTTGTTTTGATGCCCTAGATCTGTTTGCGATTGTGACCACAGGTGACTGAACCAGTAGAAATACTGTTGCTGCTTCTATTATTAAGGAAGAGTAATGTTTGAACTTAGTTTCTCTAATTTTTGAAAAGAGGAAATGAAACCAGGGATTGGATGCAGAACTAACACTTTGGAGAAACTTGCTTGTCAATCCCAGTGAGACTTGTGTCTCACTGGCATGGTTTGACAGCTGCTTGCTTGTGTTCTGTACAGATGATAGTTATTAATGATCTCTTGTTGAATCTTTGCTTTTCTTTCATTAACACTTTATTTCTTGGAAAAAAAAAGTTACTTTAAAACAATAGACCAGCAAAAATGGGAGAGGGCTGGAGAGGGACAAGTCATTTAACAAAAATCCGTTTTTTTCTATTGCATTCTTATGTAAGAAATTACCATAATATGACTTTCTGGCGCCTGAAAGCATTTTTTGAAAATAGCAGTTTCTACCTAGCAGCTGGATATCTGATTCACATGTAATACAGGTAGGAATGTTACTGTAGCATGGTGCTGCAAAGAATGTGACACTGCTCAGTTAGAAAGCAAACTGTGGTGTTTGTGTCATTCATCCTACAGTTTCTTTTTCTGCCGTTTTGGTGTCAAGTGATTTGATTGCCTTTTCAGTCAATGATAGATCTTGGATATGTGCTAACAAAATATGTCAAAGATCCGTGTTTTGAGGCTACCTTGAAGAGCACTGACCAAAATGTGAATGGAAAGACATTTGGAAGCAGCTTTGTCTCCGATTTCTCTGTTCCAGCCACTGGAGCTTTGCCTCCTTTTTGCAAACACTGAAAGCAACAAGCTTGTTGTGAAGCATGCACGAAGACTTCTCATTCAGACAGAGCAGAGCTGTTCTTTATGTCATCCTCTTCAACATAATGATTGCTTCTTTTAAAAAATGATTCTGGTGCAGCATAGAGGTTTTCCATCATTCTCTTAAAAGAACCAAATCTCCAGGCCCTGCCTCCATAAAGGAGTAATTCTTGCCCCTCCTTTTTCTTCAGTCCCCTATTATGGAAAGCTCTTTGTGAAGAAGCTCGACAGGGGAACTGCGTCATGAATCCTCCCACTACTTGGCATCATTCTGCCAGCACATAGGTATAAGGCGCTCATATGGGAAGGCTTGTTGAGATCTCTTGTTTCCTTGGAGTAGTTTTGCTAAAGACACCTTTACCAAGGCAGACATCCTAGCTGATAGGTCTATTGGTAGGTAAGTTGCTGAGCAAAAGAAAATCCAAAGCAATCTTAAACTGAGCAGGCTGGCTGTCTTCAACATTCTGAGGTTCCGTTTAAATTCTTGTATGCACGCCTGGTCCAGAGTCTGACATGTTTTGACTTTCTTATCACTTAAACTTTGTCATGCTTAAGAATGTGCACACTGGTATTTGTCTCCAGCTAAGTTTTGGGGTAATACATACTGGACCATTATTGCAATGTGAAGGCCCCATTGGGTCAGTGGTGATGAGAAACCTCAAGCACCTGTGATCTCCAACTAGTGCTCTTTTCCCATAACTAAGCAAACAGTGAAATTACACCACTGGCCTCAGCCTCGCTTAATTTAAAGCTTCTTACTCCATATCTGGTTTGTAGATGGTGCTGCATAGGCACTCCTAGAGTACCAATCTCTTTTACGTCTGTTTTTCTGACATAAGAAGTTAGAGATTGTTAAGGAGTTCTCTAAAAGCAAAGCTGTTAGAAAACTCAGGACTATCTTATATGCTCTTTAATAAAAATTTGAAAATGGAAGAAAAAAGGCAGTGTGTAGATTAACTTTTACTGTGAATTTCTCCAGAACATTATGTAACTCATTGAACATAATGGAAGCTTCTACACTTTTTCTCTTATTGCAGACATTCACAGCTATTTCTTCACTTGCTCTTAATACCAGTGCAGTACAACACTTCACCCTGTATTGCCAGAGCCTGTGGTGTTCAGAAAGGGGCTTGTAGTCTTGTCTATACTCTACCTTAAGCAAAATTCAGCAGATTAGAAATAAATTCTTAAGTTTGCCCTGTCTGGAAGAGTTGGAACCAATTTGGAGGAAAATGTTGTGGAGGAAAAACTGAGAATGACTTGATTGTAACAAAGTCTTCCTCCTTACTCTTTACACTCTTAAGGAATACAGAATTCCACTTTGCATGGACAAGCGTACTAATCACCTGTTACCCAGTTCTTCTGAGATAGCTTTACTTTTTTTTTGTCACCTCTGAAGCATCTGCACAAATAATCTAAGTCATGTTTGGTCTGTCAGTGTGCCTAATTCATGTAAAACAGGGTAGGTTAAAAGTATGACTTTCAGAGACTGCAAGTCCCAGTTAGGGGGCTCTGTTGATCCAGGCAGCAAGGTCAGATTTGTTGGTGAGTATGTATTTGTCCCTTTACATATACCATTAAAGACAGAACTGGGCCTTGAGAAGCTCATAGTCTGCCAGATGAGCAATTCTAGCATATGGCATCCAGCTCTGCTAGCAGAACCTTTTCTTCAGCTGTCCCCAGCTGAAGGTTGTAGATAAGTCTGTGGACTGTGTTCGAGCCTTTAAATTAGTGAGTGTAGTATGAACATTAATATTTCCTTTTCAGTAGTCATTCAACATTGACTCAGTTCAGATTTGGCATTGCTTGTCTACTGTAACAATAATTAGATTATTGGCTGCAGTAAACCAGTAGTTCTTTCCGCTTTTGGTGGAAGATAATTGTGTATAAAATACTTAAATTGAAGTTTCGTCTTCCTTGTCACAGAAGACTTAAACTCAGAATTATTGCAGAAATAAGGAACATGAAGCATTTTTAGCATTCATGTAGAGCACCGTCCACAAGCTGTGTCAGCTCATAATTGCTTCTTGAACAAGCAGATGCTTTGGAAATCTAAACTTGACTACTCATGTTTACTGAAATATATGTTAGATATTTTTGGTGGTCACTCAAAGTGGATGATTTACCAAGAAAGCAAGGGGCTATTTCATTTAAATGGCCCAAATAACTTGTAAATAAGGACTTAATGGAAATATTTAGAGGTTTCTTACCTTTCTTTTGCTGACTGTGTCTTTTGCTCTTTGTGTCAAATGAAACCAAGCCAAATTAGTGTGAGTGAATTCTCTTTTGAGCACTGAATGTTAAGACAATGAACTGTGCACGTGTGCAGTCGGGGCAGATAAGAAGCTCCAGCTTAAGGCTGTATGCTTTTTGCATGAACAGAGTTGCACGATCATGGTGACTTTTTTAAAAGAGGCTCGCATGAAGCCTGAACTGCCTTTTAAACTAAGAAGGACTGTTAAAAAGATGACGATTGTTTGACTAGTTGAAACTTCCTAATAAATGAAGAAATTTATTTTCTTTTAAACAGATGGAGTCTGCACGCAAAGCATGGGAGAATTCTCCAAACATGGGGGAGAAGACTTCTCCAGTGACCTCAGCAGCATCTCCCATTGCTGGTGGCAGCGGCAGTAGCAGCAGCAGCAGCGGCAACACTGGGCCAAGCAGTGGTACTTACAGCTCTTTCTCTAGTGCATCAATGCCTCCTATTCCTGTGGCCTCAGTTACACCAACAACTTCGCTTTCAGGTACCAGAAGTCAAGATTATAGTATCCTGTTGCACTGTTCCTTGGTTATGTTTTTCAGTAGATTAGATTCCCTTTGGAATTATGTTCTCTGCAAAGCTAACAGAAGTTTTACACTAGTATGAAATGTTGGATCTGAACAGCAGCTTCCCAGGTACCTTCTGACAAGGAGACAATTCATCTGTTTCAGTCAGCTGTAAAGAATACTAAGATATCTCTCCACCTATGCTATTTATATGGACTTGAAACAGGAGGGTAAACTTCTGCTGGCCACCTTATTAGTTTCATTTTGTTCAGCTGAATCAAGGCAAGTAATTGTTTCTTCAAGCAGATGGTAGTTCTGATACCCAGCTAATAGCATTTCTACTTTCACTTGTGCTTTTGCTTTTGGAGTGAAAGCTTCAACAGCTCGTATCAAAACCCCCCTATGCAATAGGCAGAGCAAATGTCCAGCTGCTATTTACAAGCAGCTCTGGTTTCCACCTGAGTTCTTCACAGCAAACAAAAGATGCTGACTGCTGAAAGATGAGGCTTTGAAATATTTTTAGCTGGTTTCTGATTTATCAAAATTTATTGTTGATTTATTGTTTCTCTTCTCCTAGGAGCTGGAACATACACAACCTCTTCACTGAGTACGAAGACTGCAAGCACCTCAGACCCTCCTAATATATGTAAAGTGAAACCACAGCAGTTGCAGACAAGCAGCCTAGCTTCTGCTGGTCACTTTTCCCAGCTGAGCTGCATGCCATCCCTCATTGCCCAGCAACAGCAAAGTTCCCAGGTCTATGTGTCTCAGTCTGCAGCAGGTAATAGTGTTTGTGGCCAAGAAGCCATGTGTCTGCTTTTTTTGAGTTTTGAAGTTTGAGAGTTGAATTCACTTCTGGTTTTATCTGCAGTAAAGACAGAATGACAGCATTCTGTAAGCAAATACTCACTAATTGTGTCTTATGCTAAATATGCAAGTTCTATTGGTAAATATAAAGATAATGCTGTGTTGTTAGTTTGTTGAGGAAAGTAAGTTTGAATCTCTTAATATATCGTTTTTCTGTCACAGAATGGTAAATCACTGTTTAAGACCAAGAATGATTTAGTCTTGACTCCTTAAAGTGGTGCAGTAATTTAGAATCATGGGGTTTTTCTTTAAAGAAAACCATACATAATAGTTAATCTAAATTACTTGACAGTATAGCATGTTCTTCCCGTTCCTTCACCCAAATGCCAGTTTTGGCAAGGAGCTGGAGATCCATGTGCAAGACCAGTAGATCCTGGGGGTGATTTTGAGAAGATACCAAAGCTGGTTAGGTGCCCAGGTCTTCAGTTCTATTTCTTCTCCAAGTCTCTCTGGTACCTGTTACGCTGGGAAGTGCCAACAGTGGCTGCATCACTAACTCTTGACGAAAACCTTTCTATCAGGGAGATGTTTGGAATCAGGTACTAACTCTATTGCTCTTTCTGAGGTACTGCAGCTCAAATCCCAGCATTTTATATGGATACAAGTCATCTATTCAATACTCAACATGCGCGTTTGGCACCACCTTCTCTGGCCCAACAGCAAGGCTTTCAACCAGGGCTTTCTCAGGTATTTGGGGATTTCATATTTCTTTTTTTTCCTCCTCCTTGTCCATATTGCGTTTAAAGCTCTACTGGTGAGCTAATTGGGGCAGGTGAGAGTTGGGACTGCAAAAATGAGGTCATGCTTACATTTGTTTTTTCATTTTGGTGCGTGCAGGCAGTGTTTGATCTCTTCTGTTCCTGAGAATGAAAGCATGTCATGAAAGTTGAGAGAATAAGCTTTCACTCACAAATATATTTTATGTAAAAGTATATATTGACAGGAGGTGTTTGTCTGGCCATGTTAGTACAGGCTTAGTCAACTTCTGTAGGACAAAATTGTATGCAATCTTGTGCAATTGTTTTGTACACAAATCTAAGTGGTTTGGTTTCTGCTGGTTATTTGCAAGGAAAAGTGTAAAATCCAACTAGAAAATAACTTTCTGAATGGGAGCAACACTAGCTTTGCTTTCAGCTTTGGGATTTGATGTTTTCTGTTTACTTTGTATAATGTTACACAAATCCTAGCACATTTAACTGTAGCTTTTCTACATTGCTTTTGTCCTTGGGATATTTAATGGTTTCTTTTTTTATGCAGCCTGCTTCAGTTCAGCAGATTCCTATCCCCATCTATGCACCCCTACAAGGACAGCACCAAGCTCAGCTGAGTTTAGGAGCAGCACCAGCTGTATCACAAGCCCAAGAGTTGTTCAACTCATCCTTACAACCTTATAGGTAGGTAGCATGTACAAATTTATTTGGGTTTTGAGTGGCAGAATTTGTAGAACTCGCTTCTCTGCAGACCCGTGTTCAGTAGCTGCCTCATCTTCCTGTTTTCCCAAAAATACCTTTTGTCTGTTTGTCTGGCTGAGAACTGTGTATGCAGATTGTCTGACTAGTCTGTGTGTGCAGATGTAGTTTTGAAGTCATCGGTTCAAAGATTATGCATGTTATTTTGTATCTTTAGGAAACCAGGCTAAAAAGCCAAAAGCATCAGTCTTTCATGCTAAGAGAATAAAAAAAGAGGAGTCTGTCCTTTTAGTTCAATAATTTATTTTCTAATCAAGCAAACATTGTAGCCTTGAAACACTTTGAAATCCTAGTTTAAACCCCATAGGTGGTAGAAACGTAATTTCAGATGTGTAGGCAATAGCAGAGTATGTTTTAGAATAAATGTTTGCTACAAAAGATAACAGGAAGACTAGTATCTCAGATGGCCTTTCCAAAAGCTTCCTTGCAGTTCCTATCGATTCTGATTCACAGTGGTGTAATTCTGACAGATTTTGTTAGTTTTACTTTGAGAAAGTTTATTTGAAAATATAATTACAGGGTTTTGCGTGTGCTGTAGAAAAACCTGCTTGTTGCAATGCAGAAGGCTGAAGCCACAGAAGGTTTAACTGACTACATCTGTATCCTGACTTTGTGCTTGGCTGACTTTGGACCAAATATCGCTTGTCCTGCCACAGCTGACAGAAGTTGTTGCAAACAGTTGACTAGTTACAGAAATACAATCAGTCTGGCATGTGGTGCAGATTAAATAAATGCTGTCGGCTGATCTGGTCACACACAAACCCAGTATTTAATGGAGGTTTGGGTTGTGCTATTTATGAGTATGAATGCTTCCCTACATCATTAAAGGTGCAGAGGAGGATAAGCTTTTGAGATACATAGGTTACCGGATTTAAAAAAAAAAAAGAAAAGTAAAAGGCTTCTAAGAATCTTTTTGGCTACATTGCCAAGAGGCCTCCGCATACGTTCTGGAAAAGTTTCTCCAGTGCTTAGAGTGTGCGACTGTTCTGCAGTTAAGGAAAGGTACAGAACAAAGCTAACCTGACTGTTCTGTTGGGCAAATACATAGCCACTACACTGGCAGATTAACAGGATCAGTGTTATGCTGGTACGTATTGAGTAAGTGATAAACTGAGAAGTGTTTTTCCATCAAAAACACTCTCCTCTGAGCTGAAGAGTTTTGCAAGGGCTGCTTATTTAAAAACTTGATTCTTCAGTCTGAGGGTGGCTGTTCAGTAGGCTCTTGGCAGAAATGTTTGGATAAATACATCTGGTGGACTAAAACAAACCTGTCTATGGTGCTTTGCTGTACAGGGGCGGGGGCGGGGGGTTTAAACAAATTGCAACTTCCCCATGCTGGTGACAAGGGAATTGAATATCTAGTTAAAATTAAAGGCTCTGTTGTCTGTCTGTGTTACTGTTTTCAAATCAAAACATTCATTTGGAAGCTGCAATTGTCATCATCCAGTGATTTAACCTGTAAATGTTAAAAGCTGGTCTACCAAGATCTGTGAAGTTAAGAGAACAAAGGATTTTACTTTGTCACTAAGTGGAACTATTCACGTATACTTCCCCACTGTCCTACCTTATAGCACAGGAACTAAGAATTGATAGCTTCTCTATGTTACTGTTAAATTATGCAAGAATTATTTTAGCATGCACATCTAAATAGCTGAGTGTACCTTAAGATTTAAATAAAAGCCTAGCCATTGTTTCCTGTTGCTTTAGTAGCATCCATTATTTTGTTATGTGCAAAGTAGGAAAAAAAAATACCTTTCTCGGGTGAAAATCTGTTCAATAGAGCTAAGTGGTTTAATTCCACTTAAAGAATATAACCTATGTTTTTAATTTTTAGTGGCTCATTGTTGAGCTCTGTCTGCATTTTTACGTGTAATACTTCAATTTCCTGCAGATCCCAGCAAGCTTTTATGCAAAGTGGTTTGTCTCAGCCATCACCAGTAGTTCTGTCTGGTACAGCCTTACACAACTTCCCAGCAGTACAACACCAGGAGCTTGCTAAGGCACAGTCGAGCCTGGCATTTCAACAGACTTCTAATACACAACCTATTCCTATCTTATATGAACATCAACTTAGTCAAGCTTCAGGACTGGGAGGCTCTCAGCTGATTGATACGCACATTCTCCAGGTAGGAGATGCTCCAAAATGCAAAACTTCTCAATGGTTTGATACAGATAATGCAATAATAAATCAAGTATTGCTCAGCTTGGGATAAGCCCAACTCTGGTAATTACATGATAGGCAAGGTGGCAGGAAACTTAAGCTGATTGGAAGAGAATGTCCATTTAATTTCATAATGGTACATTAGCATAATATCTGAATGGAGGATTATTCCCCAAACTACAGGGCTCCTTGCACTTCAGTTACTAACGGGAGCTTCGAGTTTAATTTCTGTTACAGTAGGTGATCAAAAGGCAATTCTGCCATTTGCAAATGAGAGCTTTATCACATGCTGAAACATTCAGGTTGTCAGCTTCCTATGCTGTGGTTTCTGCTGTACTGGCTGAAATACAGAATGATGTGCCGTGCTGTCTCAGAACTGCTCTCCTGAGTGTTCTTAATCTATGGTGTGTCTCACTGTTCCTAGGCCAGAGCTACACTCACTCAAGCTTCAAATCTGTACTCTGGGCAAGTTCAACAGCCTGGCCAGAGCAATTTCTACAACACTGCACAGTCTCCCAGTGCTCTCCAGCAGGTAAACTATGGCATGGTAAATTTCCTAAATCGTATTCTTCTTAAAAGCATGTTGTTGATGGTGGGTTTTGTGGGATGGGTGTGGAGGTGGGGCTGAGACAATCTTTAATTCTTCCAAAATTGATAGCTAAGGAGAGCTACTACAGCAGCACTAAAAAAATGAATTGCTGAGAAGTTGGATAGCCTACAAGTTCATGTTGATCATTTGTCTCTGGCATCCTTCTCTTAAATAGTTCATTTTCCAGTGACAAGACAAAGATTCAGTTGGCTGCTAATTTAGTGATGTTGCTAATTGAGGCATATACTGCCTTTATGAGGACAGGTATCAGTGGTGGCATCTAGAGAGAGAGAGAGAGACAAACTCCACGTGCTTAGTGCAGCCTAATTGTTAACACCAAGTCTGATTGAGGTGAAACTTTAGAGCTGTTATATATGGCAGTGATACCAAATATGCAGGAAAAAAAGTAGACAGATGATCATACCTGCAAACGAGAGCCAAGTCAGTAACCAGTAACCTACATCAGGAGGTTCGTAAAATAAACTCTAGTGAATTTATTATTTTTTAAAAAAATTCTTTTGCGAAAGAACTGTTAATTTGATGTGTGCAAGCAGTCTGTCATTTACAGGATGCTGTCTAGTGGTTTCTATCTTCTGGTTCAATTTTTATGTAAGTGGCCTTAAAAATACTAAAAAAAGCTCTCTGATGAACTGGTTTATTCTAATATATATGCATGTAAAGTTGCCAAGACAGAAATCTAGAAGAGTCCAATTTCTGCTGGAAATCTAGCATAAAATTTTAGACATTTTAGAAGGGTTAGTGCCTTTAATGTGTTCAAGCTTGTCTGTCTCTATACTTCTAATCAGTTATCCTTCAAAACCCTAGTAAGTCTTTCACATCTGGAGAATATCACTTCTAGTTGCACTCGGCATATAGTTTTGCAGGCTGTGGATTGATGGTCAGACTAGGAAATGCAGTAACTCCTGTCAGTCAGATCACTCCTGTGGTATTTTCACATTTATCACTACCATTCTGTGGTGTTTTCAGCCTACAGCACTCCCTGTTAATGCAAGCAAGGGACAGCATGAAGTTTGGTGGTGGCTTTTTTTAAGCAGGGACTGCTGGTTGTTGGGAGTCCTGGAAAGTAAAATCTAGTTCTCATCTCAGTGTCCTTATGATGATAAAAGTATTTGAAGTAAATTAATAACCACATCCACCCTCCCAACTGGCTGTTTCATTCTACTTTCTTTATTTTCTGAGTTGAATTAAATTTCCTTCTTGATACAATGAAATCACGTTGAATGATGAGTTAGGAACTCGCATGCAACTTTGTTCCTGAAAAGCAAAGACACAAATGCCGTTAAAACTGGTTATAAAGACAGGCTAAACAAATTCACTTACAGCTCTCTGGATAAATGTATGAACTCATTAAGCCATTTACCTTGAATATAACTGAAATTATAGAGCTAGTAAAGAAAGTTAAATAATGGCCCTTGTGTATATGTTACTACTGGTTTTTACTTTCTTTCAGGTGACAGTACCTTTGCCAGGATCACAAATTTCCTTGCCTAACTTTGGATCCACAGCACAGCCACTTATTGCCCTACCCCAATCTTTACAACCACCACTACAGCACACGCCACCACAAGCACAGGCTCAAAATCTAAGCAGACCTGCACAAGTAACACAGCCTTTCAGAGGATTAATCCCAGCAGGAACTCAACACAGCATGATTGCTGCAACTGGAAAGGTAACAATATTGGTATCTACAGTACAAAAATTAATACAAAGCACAGCTGTATCCTGCTTTATAGAAACTGCATGGCAACCCATGCTGATGTTGCATCTAAAAATCTGCCTTCACTTTAAAAGGTAGGAAGGGGAAGATAGAAAAGCCAGTCAAAGTTAGGTCCTTAGGGACTGGGTCTGTGCATGTTGTAAAGGTTTAGCTGAGTTTTTGTAGCTAACTTCATACTAGTCCATTTGCACTGCAGGAATATCTAGTTTGACAATGATTCTGTGTAGGGTATTTCATGTAGGAATCATGTAGAAAATAGTACAGAGCCATTATTAGAGCAGCAGGCAAACAACATTACACTGTTAGGGCTGGTTTATGATTCTGGTCGTGCATGTATTTATCACTTTGTTTTGGTCTCAGAAATGAGTGAGTTGTATGGGATAAAGTCTAGTGCAATGAATTGGAGTTTTAGGGGCTTCAGTGGACTCAGTATCAGCTGTGACCTTAAACCAGAATTAAACTCTTCTAATGTTGCTTAGGTTCTGCTTTTCTGAACAGCACAGCAAGGTGCGTATTGAGAACACAGCATTGTATGAAAGGCAGGACCTTTGATGTGTAAAAGGCTGGTCTTGCAGCTGAAGAAAACTCTTTCTGAGTGACAGCTCCAGTAAGATGATAACACTGAAATAGCGCGAGAAACTTGAATTACGTAGGAGGGAATTCTGTCCTAGTCTTTATCTGGAGCTGCTGTGGTAATTGTTAATGAGGGGATGTGTGGAGCTGGCTTCCAATCACAAGGTCTCTTGTCTTAGATGGAATCACAGATTTACAGGCACCTGGGATTTTCGGATAGTGTGCAGCACAACGCAGTTGCAGCATACTTTCAGGTGAGCAGTGGGGGATAACAGTGGACATGAACACAGCTAAGCTTCTTGTCAGATTCAGCAAGGTCTTTCACCAATGCAGGGAATAAACTCTGGAGCTGCACCTGAAATCCTCATATCTTACGGCCTAAATTTTAGGGTGCTTTTGAGTATAAAATGACCCTGTTGTCCCAATGGTTTACAGCTGTGATAAGAAAAATCTCTCTTGGATGTTAATTCCGTATCTTCAACAGTAACAGCAACCAGTATTCCACATCACCTAAATGAAGTTTTCATCCTGTCACCCACCGGAGTATGTGATGATTTTTGCACCATGCAGTTTTCTAGCTTCATAGGATCTGGACAAATCTTTTCACTTCTGTAATTTTTATGAGCCTGTCTTCTAAGCAGCAGCATGTTTCTTGCCACAGTTGAAAAATTATCACTTGTCATTGGAAAACGAACACTTGTTTCAACAAGAAATGAGAAAGAACTGCAGTGGGATGGTGGCATTAGGAGACTTCCCTGCCTGTTAAGGGTTCCATCATGTTCCTGCTAAAGAAAGTCAGCTTAAAACAGCCACTTGCATTTAACTGATTAATGTTGCTGTTACGCTTCATGGCTGTGTGTGGTAAGGTTCCAGAGACTAACTTATTCTGTTGAATGTATCTGCAAAAATAACATGCAAGATTTATTGGTCAAATTAGTCTGGACATTTTTTTGCATAAATGACAGCTCCATTTTTGCTGTGCTTTTTATTTCTGTTTAGAACTGGATTATTTTATGGCATTCCTTACGCCAGCATTTTTCAGGATTATATCTAAAAATTTTCATGTGGTACCTGAGATGGGGAAGGAAGTATCAACCTTGAAGCACTTTTTTAGGGCCAGATAAGTGAGTCACAAATCCCTGTTCATTATGGAGGAAGATCAAGTTAGAAGGCCAGTACCACTGCTCGAAGTGCCAAATAGTGCAGGAAAATTGTACACGGAGGTGCTTGTGGTGCTGGAGTTGTCCTAGTAATAATAAGGTGGTTTGCAATCTGGCTTTCACCTCCACTTAAATGACCTATTTTCACTGAGAAAAATGTGAGGTAAGCTAACAGTTTCTTAGTAAACATAATATTTGAATTAGAATTAACATGTTGGTTGTTTTGTTTTTCAGATATCGGAAATGGACCTGAAGGCCTTTGGAGGTGGCATCGATGTTAAACCTGGAACACCGCCAGTTACTGGTAGAAGTACTACTCCAACCTCCAGTCCCTTCCGGTAAATCTCTTAAGCTCAAAATTCCTTGAAATCAGAGCTAGAAAATGTACCTAGTCATGCATGAGCAGCCAATTCTGAAAGGTATGAGGTATGGGGCTACTAATACAAAAATGCAGTGCTTAATCTTAGCTTAAAAGCAGCATTCCAGTAGGTCATCAGATCTGCTGTAGTTGGCCAAAAGTACATAGCTCTAAAATAAAACACTTAAAATATTTTTTTTTTATTAAGTGACGCTAAACAAAGCATGTAAAATGACCTGGGATTGTACCAGGAAAGTATAGGCATGGCAGGGAAGATGTAGTTTGGTATAAAACTTATACAGTTTATCTTAATTGCGGTGCTGAAAAAAACACTTAAAGGCGTACACTGCAACTGTAGCGACACTTCTTTTACAGAGCTAAGAATCACTGCAAGATCTATAGGCTTCTTACAAGTGAAAGTAGTAACCTGTTTGCAGGTTTGCGTGGTTAATTGACAATTAACAGAATCTTGGTCATACACAGATGCACTTCATGGTAAACCTATTGGGCTGATTGTGGATGAAGTTAATGGGCTGAAAGAAATTGAAAATGGAACTTTGTGACAAGTTAGTTCTGTTCTTGAAAGCTGTTCATAGTAATGATAGTTGGTGGGTTTCACTGACAGCATTCATGCTTTTCTAGTGAAGTGGAAATGAGGTTTTGAACTCAGTGCTGAAGTCGTGCTTCCAGTACTTGACCTGAGTAAAAAAGTGAAGGGATGAGGAAGAAGAAACTTGAATTTGCAAGTTCACATTTAGGCCAATTCTCTTCATAGTGTATATCTTAGAGATTCTACATGCAATGTCTCCTAGCAGTCAAAGCAGGGCTTATCATAAGCTTTTGCACTTAAGCATAGAGGTACTGGGAAGATTGACAGAAACATAGTAGATCTCGAAGTGAAAACTAAACAAAGACTTCTTTAAGCTTATAAAGTGTTGTGTACTGAGTATGGCTGGCGTCCTTACCACTGCAGCCCTGCTGCTCATTTTACAAGTATCACCCATACACTCTGCAAATCAAGCTCCATTTCGTAAAGTAGGCTGCTTACTCTTTCTGAGGGCTGTTCAGTGCCTTTCCTCAGATAACCTTTCAGGCTTCATTTAATTCACGGTGATTCAACACCTCTTAAGTTTTAATGGAGGGTCATGTTCTTAGCCAGATAAAATGGGGGGAGACTGTTTTCCATGAATTCTTGAAATGCTTCAAGTGCATTTTGAAATGCTAGACAGCAGGTCAGAGTGGAAGCAGGTATACATGGCAGCTTCTGCTGCACATGCTTAATGCCTGTTGTGACAAGCTCTGAACTTGACACAATAGAGCAAACAGTGTTAGAGGGGTAGGACTGAACATAAGGTAGCAAGGATGGGAAGGGGAGCGCTTACAACATTAGTGTGTGTTTATGAATGCTTTCGGGAAGGGTCTTTTTCATAACCTAGGATCTTTCCATATCCTAAATATGTCTAATTGTTTTTTCTTTGCATTCTTAAGTTCTGAGTTTGCTTGCATTTTAAATTAATGGTAGATACAGAAAGATATCTGATACCAGCTTCTGTAGGAGACTATTTTTTTTTTCTCTGTCCAATGCTGAATTTCTAGTTAAGGTGTAACTAAAGGCAAAAACATCTGAATGAGAGCAGTGTGATTCTAAGTGGTGTGTTTTTCTTTAGGGCCAGTTCTACAAGTCCTAACAATCAGTCCAACAAAATGAACAGCATCGTCTACCAGAAGCAGTTTCAGTCAGCAGCTGCAGCTGTGAGAATGACACAGCCGTTTCCTGCACAGTTTGCACCACAGGTAGGTGACTGGTGGCTTCTTACAAACAAAACCATTTCTCTGTATGACTTGGTGACTCTAACTTGGCTGTGTTCCCTCAGACTTACCATGGGGAGATACAAAATGAAATCCTTAAAATGAATGACATGATTTCAAGATGAAAGAAAAGAAAAAAAAAACCCAAAACAAAACAACAAACAACCCTCTCTGATCTTGTTAACTAGTAGTGCAGGTTTGTGGTGTTTGATTTTGAATTTGTGAATCACGTAGAACAGACTGTTGTTCCGCTGGCTTCCCCATGCAGCTGTAATGCTCCTCATCCTGCAAAAACAGATCATTTGGTTGGGGAAGGGGAGCAGCTTTGTGTCTCAGAAGGGTCCCAGTGCATATTTTAAATGCTTAAAGAAAAAGCAGATTTGCAGTTGGTTGTTTGAGATGCATTTCTGAAGTATTGGTGGAGCAGTTCAGGTTGGAAAGCTTCTCTGGAGTCCAAACCAAGGAGGGCTGATTACAAAGGGTTTAATTTGCTTCTGGCATTCCAGGGGGCACAGCTTACAAGGGTGGTGCATCCCTGTTAGAGGTGACTGTAGCCAGGCTGCTAGGGAAATCCAGCCTCTCTAAAAATGTAGGATATTTCTGCCTGTCTTTAGCATTTGAAGTGATTGATTGTAGGACTTGAGATTAGATTTTTGGATTGCCACTAGCAGAAACTACCTCACCTTTCCAGGGCTGCCTTTCACTAGTGAGTCCTCCACTGCCTGGCATGGGTCTTCTCCTTTATTACACACTGGGTGGAAGTTGGTCCTACTTTCAGGTACAGCGGCACTACAGGGCTGTTTTTTTCTGGAGTTCAAGCATGGCCTCTCTTAACATAAAAGCCTATTTTCTTGACATGAGTGTGACAGCAGAGCAGCACCTTTTTCCCCATTTAAAATAATGCCAACGTGCAATCTAGTTGGCAGTTTTCTAATTGCGAAATGTCTCTTTTTGTTGTTTTTTTCCCCCACTTAGATCCTCTCTCAGCCTAACCTGCTCCCTCCATTGGTAAGAGCCCCATATACTAACACCTTCCCAGCGCCTGTTCAGAGGCTGCCAGTAGTACTGCATAGTCAGATGCCGTCTCAGATGACCACAGGCCTTATGAGCCACCCTCGTTTACCGCGTGTGGCCAGAGGTCTTTGTGGATCAGTATCTGGAGCCAGAGGCAATCAGGCCCAGGCTGCGATGAAGGCTGAACGAGACATGAAGGTTAGTATTTGGACAGCGGTGCTGTTAACACCAGTTCAGTCTTGACAGCTTGTAGGGCAGGAATGTGTCTGCAAATCATGTCATAATTAAAATGCCTCTGGACCCAAAGCCGGTATAGCTGGGCCTCTAATAACTGAACACAGACCTTCTCTAAGCCCTGGGGTTTTTTTAATAAGAACTTCAGACTAAAAATATTGTAGGGAGCTTCCTTTCTCCAGTGGTCTTGTGGTCAGCAGTTGTGAAGCTGCCACTGCTGTCAAAGGCAATCTGACAATTAGATTTCAAGAGCCTGGATTTTCTGAGTGAGTGATGAAGCCTACCAACCTTGCTGTTAGCTATCTTTTCACATCTGCCTCCCCAGCTCTGAACACCAGTATTGAACCTGCCTGTTCCAGCCAGCCTCATTCCTTGGAGATTCAATTCCCAGTGGTTTGAAATGCCTGTGATTAATTGTCTGTGGTAGAATGCAGTAACATGGTATGCTCCACAGAAGAGGTGGCTGCATTTCACTAGCAGGTGATGAGTGTCATCTAACTTGTTAAAGCACTTTGGGACCCTTCAGGTTGAGGCAGACTCTTCTTACCAAGCCAGGACTGCGGTATGGGGTGTCCTTGCAGGGACACCATTGTACACTTCGCATGTTTGCTGCAGAGTAAGTTGCTCGTACAAATAGATGGTGCTAAGGAGCTCCTTCATCTACTGTCATTTGCCACAGCCCATGCATTCAGGTGTAAAAGCAAAGGAATGTGGTTTTTTTCCTGGTTATGTTTGCTTGTAGGAGAATCAGTTAGCCCAGATAATTGATTACTCCTTAAATTCTAGGTACTTGGTCCGTTTAGTTTTCTGCCACCAGTTTGTTAGCTGTACACTTACCAGGCGATGCTTAGTATATTGACTTGACTGTATTACGGATTTAATTTAGACAGTCATAGCAAATATTACTATACAGTCCTGGTTTTCCAAATCTCCCTGAAAACACTGCTCAGAAGAATCTGAGTCAGAAGAATTTTGTCACACTTGGTTACTTGTGATAATTCCTCCAGACTTCTAGCCTTCAGGGCATGGCTGAAATGTGTGCAAAATATTTCAGGTGTCCATCTGGCTCCAGTAAAAGCAGACTGTTGCTGCAGTCCTGCATACCAGAGTTCACAGTTTGTTTTCTGTTCTGTTGCTGGCTGAGTTACTTGGAGCAACTACACAGTATGAAAGCCAAGACCTCTTGTTCCAGGCTTTTGCTCTTTTTTCCCCCTGTTGCATGTCATCCCCCCCTGCCCTGTTTTCTATAGAACAGCATAAAATACTTAGATATGTGGAAGCTTAGTGACTGTATTGTAGTGGAGGGTCCTTGTATTAAAATACACCTTTTTAATTTTAAAAAGGCATTTGACTGCACTGGGCTTAATTGTGCAGCTTCCAAAAGATTGAGCTCTTACTGCAACTCCCGCTTTGCTTAAGCCTGGACAGGAAAGCCAAGTGCTTGGTCTGAAGCCTCTGGTCTGCACAGTGTAAAACCTACAACTAAAACACGTAGTCACAAAGGCTGAATTTCACAGGTGTAAGTCACGGTTAGTGCTAGAATTCAGAGGAGGGATTTGAAAGAAGCCAGACAGTAGTTTGTGCTGCCTGGGATGAGTGCCCACTTTGAGTGGGAAACAGATAAGGCCCCGGCTTATATAGAACACAACCTTGAACTGGTTCACTTGTATCCCCGTTGTAGACTCTGAAGTCTTGTGTCCAGGGACGTGTGTTGGGGAGGGAATTTGGGTACTGAGAGTAGATTCTGCTGCTGTGATATACAGCTCCTGCACTCAAGAAGTCCAGACCACATGGCAGGAGAAATGACAGCTGGAATGGCCCTTGGTGCTGATGGTAGTGTTGGGGCATGGGCAGTGTGCGGGCACACATGCCTTCTGGTCATGTGCAAGTTCCACTGAGGAGTGAAGCTTTGTTTTGAGCCTACCATAGGTAAAGCTTACATTTATTAAACTGTGCAATAATAGTGTCATAAAAAGGTGTTAGATAATTCTTCAAACTATTGTCCTTGATCCTGTTTTCTAGCTTGAGGATTAGGAAGAGCAAGGGAAGCCTAGGCATGATGTTAAGCTACTACTGAGGAACCAAGAGTTCCTAGATGTTGTGACATCTAGGAAGCAACTGGATGGACACTGCCTTTCTAGAAAAGTCTTGCCACTGCAGTCAGTCCTTCCTCTTTCATTAAGGAGATACTTCTGTGAAGTCACTCTTATTCCAATGCCTTCTCTTCAGTAAACATGTTTTCTCCCTTTCTTAAGGCAAAGCAGAGAGCAGAGGTACTTCAGTCCACCCAGAGATTCTTTTCTGAGCAGCAGCAGCAGCAACAGAGCAAACCCATAGGAGGCAAAGCACAGAAAGTGGACGAGAACGGGAGCAAACCCACTGAGGCAATTGCTGACTCTTCAGGAGTCTGCCAGGACAAAACTGAGGAAAAGCCCACCCCTGCGCCTGCTACAGCAACAAAACCTGTTAGAACTGGACCAATCAAACCTCAGGCAATCAAAACCGAAGAAACAAAATCTTAGAGGCTGTGTTTCCATGCAGGTGGGGGGAGAGGGGAGGGTGGGTGAGATGACAGCAGCATGGATTTCTAGCCCAAAGGATGAGACAACAGTCTTCTCTCCCTGCAGGGCTCTGAACAGTGTAAAGTGACATAGAAGCCTTCAGCTTCTTCAGCAGTTACGGATGCAAACTGCTGCGTATCCAGCTGAGCTTCTAGGCTCCTTTGGGCTTGTGTCTGCTCTAACAGCATGGAGGCTGCTTTTGGTGTGTGCACGTTCTACACGTGTGCACATGTACTGGCTTACACACCTGTATGTTTCCCAAAGCAAGAAAAATTGAACAGTAGTAACAGCAGGGGAGGTGGTCAGGGAGGTTTGTTCCTAGCTGACAAGATGAATACTCATATTTTCTTCAGGCTCTGATCTTCAGCTGCTATTTATCTTTTTATAAACCCGTGAGTATGAGAACATGCAGATCTGAAGATGGTGCTGGGCCAAGTAATGTGTGTTAAGTTTTTAGTGACTTAAGAAGCTTCTATTTTGTCATAAAGAGGGATTCATATAGCTGGCAAAATTGCCTTTGCTGTGTGACCTAACGTAACACAGACTTACACTGATGATGTTGAATTTCCCTCTGAAGGCAGTGCTTTGCTGGCTGCTGCTTCTTGGATGACAATGTATTGCACTTAGATCACCGTATGAAAATGCTACTTGGCCACCTGTGTTCTCTACACCCGCTGCCCCCTCAGTTGTTCACCTCTGGAATTGAAAGGTTCATTGCATCAATAGTCAGATTTGTTCTGTTCACCTCTGTCCAGCTGCCTTTATATGATGCGAGTGATTTCTAAACGGTTTCCAGTTCATGTCTGTATACAGCAGCGAGCACTTAGAACTGTGCTATGAGAATAAAAGAAACCTTATCAGCTTAAAGAGAGTTGAATCTACAAGGTGCATTCTTTATATCAGAGCTGCGTCGCACCACCTCCTTGCCCACAGTGTGCTGGAAAGTAGAATCAAGTCAAATAAATGCCTTTTTAATTGTATCCTCTAGTATTATAGCTGTAGGACAGTACTGTATGATACTTCTGTGAATGTAAGATACCCTGTACCTGCTTATGATATGTAGTAGTGACTGTGCTATACTGGAGCTGTTTTTAATAATGTTATTCTAGAGGTTTTTTTCCAGACAATGATTGAAAAAGCTAATAAAAAGCACCAGGTACCACATCAGTAGCAGAATTTGCTGGTTTTTTCTGGGATTTTTTTTTGTTTTCTTTTTTTTTTTTTTTTTTTACATGTTTTGGAAGGAAGAGTTGAGAGTCTAATGTGTATAATTTTGTTCAAATGACTGCAGAAGCTGGAAAGGCTGTTGCTGCTATCGATGCCTAGTGAATCGCTATTGGTTATCTTTTTATATAAATATATATATAATTTGAATTTTTGGAAACTTTAGCTGTGATGTCAACTTTGGAAAAAAGTATCCCACTTGTAGTGTGAGTTGGCATTGTACAGAAATTAACAGCCATATTGGTCTAGAAATGTTAAACTTAATTTTTTTTTTCCATTTGTACAGGGGTAACGCACTGTATTAAATATGTACGGTCTTATTTACATGGGTTTGATTACAGAAACTAATAAAGTATTCTCTAAATAAAGCACCCGGGTAATCTCATGATTAGCGTAGTGCTGCAGGATGCACAGAGAGCGCCTGAACACCGTGTGCCAAGTGAAGAGTGTGCATGACAGCTTGGGAGAACAGACTTCTGAGGAAAACCAGTTTGAAATGGCTTATTTTTGTTTCCTCTGGCACTTTTGATCTCATTCTGCAGCGAAGGTCTCACGGGACATGGCTTCCATCTAGCTCTGGACAGGACCTGCAGTTTGTGTTTGTGAGATGTTACTTCTGCAGCATGTTGGTGAGCTGCCGGCTTCCTAGAGAAGAGCCACTCGTCAGAGGAGACCAGGAGGAGCACAGCTGGTTACTCATTTTAGCTGGTGGCTGACAACATGCATCAGCTGCACCCTTGCAGCAAGGGGCAAGAGGTTTCCTGCAGGAGAGGGCCTTGATCAGAGGCTCCCCAAGGCTGCAGGAGGCTTCATTCTTGTGCTGCTCCTGAACTGCTGCCTTCTCAGCTCACTGCAAGCAATGCACACTCCCTACTACATGTTCAGATCATACACTTACCGACTCAAGCTCTTAAGAGTGGGCCAGAATGAGGGCTGAGCATCCTCCAGTCCTTCAGTTGCAGGGGGGAGAGCATCCCAGATGCCTGCCCTGGGTTTGCGGGGTTAGGAGCAGCAGAATGCTGTCAGCTGGTCCCCAGAGGGAACCCTGGTAACAAACACCAGAAACACTTGCTGTTTGGGAAGTAGTTCCTGCCTTGAGAGAAAGTACTAGCTAGCACTGCGTGTCAGACCAGTGCAAAGGCAGCCAGGGGTGGCTGTGCAAGCACCGCTGGTTGTGATGCAGATCACCTTTGGTCAGGAGTGTTGCTGCCAGCCCCGCAGCGGGTGGGAACAAGCAGAGTTGCTTGTGCTTGGCTGGGTGGGAACCCAAGTTCAGGGGCTCCAGAGGGGTGAGAGTCCTGCCAAGGCTGGTTCTGTCAGCGGGTAGAACTGCAGCACTGTGAAGTAAATAAAGGTGCCATAATCCACAGATGGAGCGATGGGCAGATGTAACCTCCCGAGTAGGTGACACTGCAGGTAAAGCACTGGTTTTGTTTTTACAGGAGCTGTACAAGCACAGCTGTAGTAAGTGCTTGGGGAGAGGAGGATGAAGACAGTGAATGTAGATGATGGTTTTATCTACAAATGTGCTATAAAAGAGTAACTGAGTTAGCTGTTTCCCTGGTTTGAGGCTATCTTTAGCCTGGTTCATCTTGGAAGGACATCCTAAAAATGGGAAATCCTTCACCAGACTATTCTACATTTAAGGAAATGCCACTGTGAAAGGATTAATCTTAAATTCTCCAGTAAAGCTACTAGGAAAACCAAGCGAGTTTCCCACAGTCAGCTGTGGGAACATACCAAGCTTTTGGCTATTTCTTGTGCTGAGCAGAACAAGGATATTTTTGCAGAAACTTCATTAAAAGCAAACGATTGGGCATATTCTGCATCTGAATAACTTGTTTTTGATGGGGGCCTCTAAAACAGCCCCGAACCACCCTGCTTGCCTTTGAGGCCACGTTGAGCTTTCCATCACTGACCCCTAGTTCATTGAATATTTTTATGCCATTAACCAGATAACTTGCTCCTGACCACTTAAACTGAAATAGTTCGTTCTTTTTTGAGTGGGACTTGGTGCGTAATCTCTTTCCTAGAGCTCTGGTCATTACAAGTAGTTGTGCTGAACCTCCCATAAGTTAGGGAACTATTTTGTTTGGAGAATTCACCTTTTTTCCCCCCCTTAATAATGTTCAGTCTGTAAAAGGCTGTAACTTTTCCCAAGGGCAAGAGCAGAGGTGGGTTTAATGTGACTTGGGCCAGAATCCAGCAAGCCTCGGGGCCCAGGCTGGCTTCTTCTTGCGGTAGAGGAGGGGAGGGGCTCTCCGGGCTTGTTTTGCAAAGCCTGTTAAGTAAAGCCAGGTGTTCAGCTCCAGCCCAGCTCTCTTCAAAGCCTGTGTACATTGGCTTCTCCTAGTGAATTAAGAGATAGACTTCCCAGCCTGAAAAGACCTCGGTGCTGGCAGGCAGCAGGATGGTGGGAAGGGCTGGGACTGTCTGCCCTTGGTGTCTCCACTCATGGAGGAGCTTTTGGTGCTGCTCTTCCCCAGGGATCTCTAAACAAGCCCTCCTTTTCATGCTGGGGCTCAAGTCATGCCTCTGGGGAGCTGTGGGGTAAAGTGGGGCTCCAGCCTCACCTCTCATCCTGTTCTGGGACAGAAATGTCATTCTCCTGTCCTCAGCTGCAGGGTTTCTGTGTGTTGGGTGTGTGGCAGCTTGCTTGCCTGCCTGCCGCTGACTGGGTTGGGTCAGCGCTGTGCAAGCAGGGGCTGCCTGCTGCCTGCCTTGTGCTTCTCAGCCCCAGTGAAAACAAAAACCTCTGCCTGCTCCTGGGTGACCCCTTAGCTGCCTTTGCCCCCAGCTTTACAGCCCTGGATCTTACCCTGGTGTTTGCCTTGTTTCTCTGTAACTGCCTGTCCCCAAATGGGTTTTTGCAGCAGGGCAGAGGGATGCTGCAGGGCTGAGGCTGCTCCCTGGGCCAGGCCTATGCACCCCTGTTTTCTGAGGCCAGGAGAGCCTGTAATGCACCATGAGTTTATTGCAGCAGCTGCAGTCAATGGCAGTGGGTACCCTCTCCCCATAGTGGGCCCAGGGCACCCAGCTCAGTGCAGACCCAGGTCCTCTTCGTATATTGCCCAGCTGGCTGAGATGGTAGGCGTGGGGCTGCGGTCAATGGTGAAGGCATTGCTGCCACCTGTCACGAAGCTGAAGAAAGAGTCATGGCAGGGTATGGCGAGCAGCATCCCACAGCCCATGAGGTCCAGGGTGCAGCGCACAACCCGCTGCAGCGTGTAGGTGATGCCGCTCCAGATGCTCTCCAGCTCCTGGCGTGGCACAGGGCCCCTGGCCCTGGAGAACATGGCGTGGCTGATGGCGGGTGGCGGGAGACGTTGCCGATCCACATGGCTCAAGCACTGTGGCTGAGATGGCACGACTGCTTGTGCAGCACAAATGGAGTAGGAGCAGGTGGCTGGCAGAGCAGCGGGGACTTGCTGGGGCCGCTGGGCTGCCCCGTGGCATCTGCGAGGGCGCATCACTGGCCAGGGGGACACCTTTGCTGGTACTGGCTCGTGGTGAGTGAGCTCCTAGCTCCGCACTGGGCCTGCCAGGGAGCAAGAAAGGGTCTTTCAGTGTCTTGCCTCCATGTGCTGGGGTCCCACCTGGAGCCCCAGGTTGGTCCGTGTCCTGGTTTCAACTGGGATAGAGTTACTTTTCTTCCTAGTAGGTGGTACTTTGCAGTGTCTTGGGTTTAGCCTGATATTAATGCTGATAACATTAGCATTATGTTTTAGTTGTTGCTC